TGGAGCTGATCGAAGCACTGCAAATGATGTGAGTATCATGTAATTAATGGACCATAAATCTTCTTTTATTAAATTCCCCTCTTAACTGTCAGTTTTGAATGAGGAAAACATAACAGATGCAATAATGTGTACATGTACTAAAGCAACATGTAGGGTTACAACACTGTAGGCAACTTCACCTGTGATATTACAATTACATAATGTACTGTATACACTTACATGTACACTCATGTACAGTATGGTTTATCAAAGTCTCATTCATACATGTATGATCCTAAAGGATTCTCCCTGTGTGTTTAATTCCAATGTCAAATTAATATTATACCTTGCATGATGTTCTAACCTTAACTCGTCTCACATAGTCATACCCCTATTCTCTGTGACAATCAAACAGTGTCTGGCCAGGCATACACCCTTAGTTGTTTTGTTTAAACTGTATTGGTACATGTACATGTACATGTACATGTACAACATGCAGAATACTAACTACAATGTACAATAACTACATGCTACACAAATTTATTTTTTGGGGACTATGACAACATAGAGACAAATCTATCCTTTATCTTGTTATTATAGGATGGAGATACTGCTCTTATTGCAGCAGCAAGAGAAGGAAACTGTGATGTTGCAGAATTACTGCTGAAGAAAGGAGCTGATCCTTCACATTCAAATGATGTAAGTTATTTTGATTAATATTCATTTTATCATTATTAGAATATTATTGTTATAGATACATGTAGCTACATGTATCTTATAATTAGAAGTTTATGTACTAACTGTTGCCTTAATTAGAAGTACTATTAGTGTAAAAATATTTCTAATTGTTTCACCGTCTCGATATAATTGTATATAATATTTGTATATACATGTACATCTCATGGGGCCCATGCAGGTCATTAAAATGCAATTCCCAAACCTTGTATTCAGTTTCATTAATACCATCAGTAGAGAAATGAGGAGGTAACAGAATTTAAAAATTCTTTTCACCAAACAGTTCAATCACTGTCAAGATATTATTGAAAGAGAAAGCAGGCTCTAATGCAGCAAGAATTAATTAGTTATTAAAGGTACATGTACCACATGTACTTTAACCCAGGAAGACCACTGCAGTGATTGAAGCCACCCACAACTATCCAATTATGGTGCAATAGGAGTTTATTATGATATCCTTATCTTGTTATTATAGATTGGATATACTGCTCTTATTGAAGCAGCAGAGAGAGGACATTGGGACATTTTACAGTTGCTAATAAATAATGGAGCTGATCTAAACACTGCAAATAATGTGAGTATCATGTAATTAATGGACCATAAATCTTCTTTTATTCAATTCCCTTCTTAACTGTCAGTTTTGAATGAGAAAAACATAGCAGGTGCAATAATGTGTACATGTAGTTGTAACTAAGCTAGGTTTACTACATCAGTCTACACGAAGGCACTTCACAATTGTGAACGGGTCCTTTAT